TCTGGTTTTTGTGTTTTTCGGCTGCATGATGCACTATATAATTACCATCGGGAGTGCGCGCGCGCGAACGCCGAGGCTCTCGATCCTTCTCTTAGATGACTTGGGTGGCCGGCAACATTCATGATTTTTGTCGACATAAAATTTCATGCCACGGTTAGTCTGCTTATAATACGTTTATGGTCGTAATCGTAGTAATGGATCTAACCCGGGGGCCGAGCCACATCCACTGCCCTTCGAGCAGTCTTTTGCGATGGCCCGGAATGTTATTATCCAAAATAAACTGTCTTATGGTTAGATAGGGTGGGGATTATCAAGTCAAAACAACATCTTACCTTAGTTTGCTACTCTATTATGGATTAGCTCACAGTTTTGGTTAGCGGTTGTATCCTACTCTCCTGCTATTATTTCTACCCAAGCGCTGCTAACGCCCCCCCATAGAAAGTAAGAGGGAGGGGCGCGGGCCTCCTCGTGACCGCCCTCTCCCTCTGTTTTCCTTCACTTGCACATTGTCCAGGTTCGGGCTTGAAGCAACGTGCAGGGGAGAAACAGAGGGAGAGGGGCCTTTGGCATTCCGCTCTGCTTCGCTCGTCGGCTCCACTCCCATCCCCGCTGCCACCCGCCACCGAGCATCATTGTCCAGGCGCCAGCGGCGGCAGGCAGATCGTACGCAATGGCGTTCGAGAGCGAGAATTTGGTTGCTCTTATATAGTGGAGAGCGCTTATCGAAATCAAAACATTGAGAGATACATCTGCACCAATCGAATTTCCGATTGCTAGCAGTCGTAAATCTTTCCTTCACACTAGAATAACGCCTGCGAACCCGTGAAGCCATATATGCGGACGACAAACATACATACTTTTACATACATACATACAGACCAGACAGACCGACACAGGTAGCAAATTCCATCCCTGCTTATATAGAATGTTAAGGATAATGTACCGCCCTTGGGGAGGGGCCGCCTCACGCGCTTCCCCCCCCCTCCGGAGTTCTCGTGGAGATTCGGAAGAATTGACAGGGTTTAAGTGCGTTGTGAGAGGGGAATTGTGAAAAAATGTGGGGAGGAGGGCCACTGCGCCCACGTGATGCATGAGTCTCAGCAATTTTTGATTTTAACAATTTTAACATACAGATCACCTACGAGCTAAAACCTTATTTCCCTTGTTTATTGAAACGTAAGTCCATGTATCAGACTTAATGCTCCCTTTCCGGAACCCTCCTTTCCGCCTCTTTCATTACTCCTTAGACACACTTGTCATTCATTCTGTCAGAACACTTTCTAAGGAAAGCGGTCTGATTCAGTTGAATCTGACATTGTTCTTCGACTATGGCCGGTGGGCATCAATTCTGTAACACTGCTGCTGGTCAGGCTACAGAATTTGAATGGGTCACCACTGGTTGGTGTCGTCTAAACAGTTCTGCCTTCGAAACGAAATTGATCTGCTACATCTCGAGCTCTTTGTTCTAGATCTGATTTGTTTCAGCTAACTTAAGCTGTTGGCTTTGAATGCTGAATTCCCTCCTAGTTGGAAAGCCGCATTATTGACACAAGGACCGAACAATGCTGTGCAGCATACGCATGATAAATGATTGCTATGATAATCATCAAGGCAAAGACTGAACGAAATCTTGCTAAGGCGTGTTTGTTTTTCTGTAAATGAACCCTAGCAGCATCCCCTGGTAGTCATCGGTTCGCCGCCGCCTAATCTCTTTTTGAGATCTTATCATCAGAGGTGTTTTGCGCGGCTCGTGGTTCGTGAGCTGCACGAGTGCAGCGTCAAACAAATTTGAAGATAGCAGCGGTTACGAAAAATCGACCGTCTCTTAAACAGGAAAAAGGTCGAATGCTCAACTCAATCCTCTTGTAACAAAGGACGATAATACACGTACATATGAGGTAAAACAGATTATAAGTAAAGTCATCATTCTTTATCGCCGAACGCGTCCAGGTGGCACAGCCCTTGTCCTCTAGTGTGCTCCCATAGTTGTAAATGTAGCTACCAGTCGGATCGCCCGGCTGACGCCGAGCTCTCCTCCTTCTCTTTAGCTGGTTGGCTTCGCCAGGCGCACTTCATAATGGAAACGGAATTTGCTCATTCACTTAGCTGCTCATACTGCACTGTTTTGATCGAATTGTAATAGGTGGAGCAACCCGCGCGCGAGCAAGCTGCTCACGTCCAGGTGTACGCGAGCAGCTTGCTCGTGCTCCTACTCAAGCGTGCGCTACGGACCCTCCCCAGCGTACCCCCTTCGCCCAACCTCTTCCGCCTGCGCCCTCCCTGTGCTCATGTCCAGCTGAGCACGTCCGGGGAGGGGATAAAGCGGAGGAAGCAAAGGGAGGGATCCCTGGTACCCTCCGCTCCCAACCCAGCGTGCCCCGCACGAGCACACGTCCAGCTGCCACGCGAGCAGCTCGTGCAATGGCTCGGAGTGTACCGAATGGTTGTCTTATATAGCGGAGGCTGTTATCACAATCAAAACATTGGATTGATACATCTGCACCAACCGGTTTCCGGTTTGTCCAACGGCCGTATTCTCCTCTCCCTAACGTGTTCGGAGCCGTGAAGCATTTTGCGGGCGAACAGACATATGGTGTAGTTCGCTGCGGACGGTTGGGCGTGTCAGTGCGGCTGCGTTTGGCGCGGTGCCAAACTCGTTCTCCACCAGTTGTTGAAGCGGGCAAGTGACAATACTGTATCATATCCTTCGTATTACTCGTTTTCTACCACTTTTTGTCGCATGCGCGTTTCAACAAGAAGGCAGAGAACGGCTTTGACGGGGTGACACACTCATACTGGCTGACACGCCCAACCGTCCGCAGCGAACTAGAGTGTACAAAAATACCGACAAACCGACGCACAAAAATGCTTTATAGAATGGAAGGATAGTAACTCTTCAAATTCAACATCTTAGCACGGCTGACGCCATCAGACATTTCATGGGATGTACGGTAACTACATTCATACATACTTCGATCCACTCAACAAATGCTAACTAGCCGGGGCGCGATACATTCGAGAATCTCCTTACGAGGAGGAAGGACTGAGAGGGGACTTCTAGCTCAGTTATGAGGCGAAAGACGAATTTCAAAAAAATTTTGCACTATTCCCCTTTACTGCCACAATCATTCGGAATCAAGCCATATTTAACCTACTTGTTCTCCGTGGACAGACTCGGCTTAAATGTATTTAGTTTGAGCTCCCGAACACGAATATCACATCCGTTTGGCCCGGAACGTCCTCACGCCCGCGCCACAAGCACCAGTGATTCAGGGTGTTTTGGCACTGGCGCCTCTGGTGCGCGCGCCAGGAGGCTTTCGGGCCGAGCGGATGTGATATTCGGGTTCAGGAGGTCAGAGTACCTCTGGAAACAATTTTCAGCGAATTTGATGATTTAATGTATACCGGCGCCAGACCCTCTAGCACGGGCACCAGTAGGTTTCTGGCCAAGTGGATGTAATATCCATGTTCAGAAGGTGGACTACCCTAGGACACAAATTTCTTAGCCAATTGTGCCCGCGGAGAAGAAAGTCGGTCAAAAACTGGCCTGATTTTAGATTATGGGACGGGTGAATAATGCCAGAAATTCTCCCTAGGAGCATGTGTCCTGATGCAGGCTTTCCAGCCTCAATTAAATACCGTACTTGGTGGGATGGGTACAGTCACAATTCTACTCTCTCATTCTCAGATTTGAGCACCGTCATCAAGGACGGGAGACGGACAAGACGATCGTAATTTGTTGCGTCGCCGCGAGCGGCGTATCGTGCGGCTATGCGCAGCAAATTTATAATGTGCATCCTTTTGCAGACTGTAGCAGCGAAACTTATAGGAATTAAACTAAAGGCAAGTCTCTATGATGGATGGGCGATACTGATTTTCCCATCCCATTGACACTCATATTGAAGCGGCCAGGCAGGAAAACTCGTCCGTCGGGCGCGGGATCGCTCGTCACACCCCTAGCGTGGCATACTACGATGGTCTTCTCACATCATTGAAGGCTCCTATAAAGCGAACCTCTGAACAGTAAAGCTCCTTTTCACTTCTGTCGGGCGTCGTCCTTGGCAAAATGCAAAAAAAAATTGATGCCGCTGAGCATATCAATTCCTGCCTTTTGGCTTGCAGACCCGATGAAATTGCAACAATTCCAAGTTTTGTGTTGTAAATGCTCGCTTCGAAAGGGATGTAAGACATTCAAAAAATAAGTATTGACCAAATCGTTGTATAATGGAATGCACTAGCTTCTGCTGCGCAGATATTTCAAATCGCAATCATTTTACATGAAGTGTCCAAATCCAAGCCAGTATATGAGACACTCTTTCGAACTCCCGTACTCGTACTGGACGGCACCATTTTACTAACAACCCCAAAACCCAGATTCTCCGCTGAAAGTTCCGCTACAGAGGCTACTCGGTGGATGCCTTGATTACGAGTCTGACTTGACTTCCATTTTTTCCGCTGGCGTCACTTGGCGTCAATAGGCACCACTGTTTTTGAAAATCGCTGCAAGTTTGTAATTGGGGTAGGGAGGGGGGGGATCGAGGGTCATGATTATAAATGTGTTCTCCATTACCAGCGCTGACGGCGCTTTAGCTCAGATTAGCGCGAGCACTCTTTCCACCCAAAATTGTGCAGCTAGCATACTAGGGTCTACGCTGTGCTAAGGCTGAAATGGGAACGGAATCAGCCTAGTCCTAATATCAAGCCGAGCTTAAGCAGAGAGCTAAGTGGCACTGGAATAAATGAATGTTTTACTCGTGATCAGGACATCAACACACTTATTATGGAACCTTTCGACGATCTTGGTGAAAAAGGTGGTGGCGTTAAATTGGCGCCTTGTTGGGGCCAAATAGCGACAGCGACCCAAGTGAATGTCATATTCGTGATCAGGGCGCTAAATAACCTCTTTAGGCAAAGTTAAGCGAAAAGTTTTGGAGTCGTAGAAGTTGCATAGTGCCGAATGGAGGAGTTCCTCTGGTCCTGATGGCGAGAAGGAATGATTGTTAAGGTTTGTTTCCACATATCGTCAATGTGAGCGACTTTTTGAGAACTATGGTATCTTCATCCACAGTATAGCACACCGATTTAACCTCACCTCGTTCATGACAATAATTGAAGCACATCACACCAAAGCTGAGCTGCTGGCAGGCACCATGCCTTGCTTTGAAAATCGAAGCACACGTCTTTTTGTACTGGAATATTATGAGAGTAGCGCGACGGAACACTGGGAATTCACATGTTCTCTTGATTTTTCGTACTCACCTGAAAGTTGCTTCCTACTGGGTCTTTGGCACCCGATCGTGGAAAAATCCACGTTTTATCGAGAGCTCTGATCAGTTGATTCAACTTCTCCACATCAAGGGGTTCGCTTCTTCCAGGAGTCTTCAACAAAGAACAATTCAGTTACTATTTGCGCACTCGTATGAGTAAAGCTCACGTTTTGCATAGGCCTGCTTGCGGATCGCATGCCAGCAGGTGCGGTCATTTGTCGTGCCTGTGTCTGTTCGATTGCTCGATTCACTTGTGCTTGCCTTGTACCTGAAACCACGGCAAAAGTATTGGTGGTAAATAAAGTAGTGGGTTTTGTCCACATATCTTTATACTGCATATAAATAGAAAAGTAAATAATACGCTTTTTTCCTTTGAAAACGGAAACAAACAAATATGAGTCTACTAGTTCATTTCTGCCACAGATCTCCTAGGTGAGTTTATAATTTTTACGATTTGTAAGACTTTTGGAGGACTTTGAGTAGCCCGGGCTCAATCGAAGGGGCACTTTGGGCTAGCGGTCTTCGCCTATGCGAGAAAGACAAACAAAACGGACAAAAAAATGGAGTTTTTTTGATCACTGTGTTCAGGGTATAGAATCCGCTAATAATGAATTTTGCTGGCAAATGAGTAGACGAAGCTAACTTCTGCTGGCAAAGCCGTTTTCAATAGCAATCTGTTGTTCATGCACACGATTTCAAGGTATCCCTCGACCACGTGGATGCTTGAAGTGTTGGCTCCATCGTAGCGTAGCGCAAATGAATAAACAAGTTGGTAAGGAGCTCTTGCACCGAATTTCAAACAGCTACAACTTCAGTGTTCGAATATACGAACGTATAGGG